AAGAGATGGAACTTAGAATCTTTTAAATTTGGAGTTTTATGATTGACTATTGGAAGAAGAAATGGTGAGTGGAATATACTTTTAGATTTTCAAAATGCAGAAGTTCAGATTGTACCTTTAAGTAGTGTGTCATTTCTTAATAAACAATAGTAAAATTAAATATTTAGTTAATTTTTAAAAACGTTTTCTACATGTAAAAGATAATGGTTGAGCAGAATTAACAGTTAGTTTGATACCATAAACTGGCAGACTGGAAGTCACTTGTTAATCCCTGTCTCATGATGGTGGTGCTTTCACAAGAGCAGCTGCAACATCCCACCCCCTCTACAAGTGTGTTAGGGCTAAACCTTTCAAGGGGTGTTTCTGTTTTTAAAATTTATTTTGGACAAAACTAGTCCTTTAATTATGTGTTTTTTTCTCCCTCTTTCTGCTTAGCTTCACAAAGAAGAAAAATATATTTTTGCACAAAATGTGGAAAACTGGAGGCAAGGGACTGTCGTGATGTTGTTCTCATACTTGGAAGAAGAGCCCTTGTTCAGATTAAATTCATGATGGACTGCTTCATGGTTTTGAGACATTTCATTATGAACAAAATTAAAACTGAAACTACAACACATTGGGTAACTCCATGGATTCCTTTACAATGCACATACAGACCATGAAGGGTCTACAGAAGGAGAGCCGTTAAGGCAAAGCACTACCAAAACATGTAAGCTAAGGGAGGGCCTTATCCATCTGTTAATAATCCCTGAAAATGTAACCTAGGAGTCTATCACATGGGATCCATATATACCTCCCTCCCAATAATGATTAAAGTGGCCACAACCCACAAGAGTGTGCAATGTATGAATGATTTTCACATGCAGAACACAGTAATGAATTAGAAATTAATTACTAAAGTGAGAAAGAGGGTAGAACGCACATTTGGTTTTCACACAAATGTGTCCCTGCCTTCCTTGAGTGGCTGTTCCTTTAAGAGTCCCGGCTAATGGGGAAGGGGGAGGAAGGAGAGACATTCACACAGAGGCAGAAGCAAGCTTTTTCTCTGTGTCCCTGCCTTTGCCTTAGCAATTGTTCCTTTAAGAGACCTGGCTACTTGCCCCAAAGAACCAATCTGTCAACAAGTACAGAAATGGGGAGAATCCTGCAAATGTCTTTCACACTAGAACAATTATGCAAAAAAAAAAAAATTGTGAATGAAACAGAAATGAATAATAATAATAATAATAATAATAATAATAATTTTTATTTATATACCGCCCTATGGTGGACCAATCCGGGCGGTGAACATGGTGAATAAAATATACAATAATACAGTATTAAACAACATCATTCCCCCTCCCCCCCCCTAAAAATTTATAGTATTTCCCCAAAAAATGCCTATTTGCTGGTTCATATCACTTCCCTGTCAGATTCCAAGCACACAACATCATGTGAAAACCATCCGCCTAATGTGCTGGATAACTGTGGGTTCTAATCCATTTAAACTTCCAATTTTTCCCATGTGATAAACTCCTTAGTCATCACTTCTCTTCAAGCTTCTCTCAGAACAACATTAGGACTTACGACTAGTCTACATGTGAGTGTATCATGTGAATTGCTGCATATTTTTTACATTTGCATCCATGTTGTCTTTCCTTTCTTGCACAAATTCACATCTATTTGTCCTCCCTCTCCCAAAAATGTGCACCCATGTGAATCCATGCAAAGTGGACAGACAACCACATATTTGATAATGCATATCCTCATAGATACTCTGGAGTCCACCCACCCACCCACTCAAACAGACTGCAAAAACAAACAAACCCTAATTCCTCTTAATTATATGTGGCCAGACCATAGTCTTTTTGATTGGAATGAGGAGTATGTTAATCATGTAGACAAGTCCTTAGTGTTGTTCTTGAGACATTATTGGGAGAACATGGTCTGCCAACTGACTAATGTCATTCCAAGTGGAATGGCTAAGATACCCACAGATTTATATAGATAACAAAAGGTAAGGACAAGCTGCTGTACCCACTGCTTTTCCAATTAAGTTTCCCAATCCCCTCCTTTTTTTTTTCTTTTTTTTTTTTTGCAATTACCCCCTCATGTTACTATATTTACAGGACAACCCCTTAATATGCTTAGCCATAGCTGTAGTACAGGATATTGTCCACAGAAATTTGCTGAATGATTTCAGCCACAATCCTTCCTGCCCACAGATACCTAGGAGTAAGTTCCATTTAATTAATCAACACTTAAATCTGAGTAGGCATACATAGACTTAAACTGTTCATTTGGAAAACCTTCAAATAAATTTGGGAAGCATAAATGGCATTCAGATTACCAGCTGACATTACCAGTTCATAGCTATTACTGTGTCATCTGTTTCGCTCTTTGGCAAATGAGCCATTTGGAAAAAAAAGATAGAACCTTCAAAACTCAGAATTTAAAGCCTCCTTTTAGTTACTTTGCCTAAGCATAACTTTTATAACAGAAAGATCATTCTCTCAGCAGGTCACCTTAATATATCCTTTCCATCAGCATTCCCCTTAGTTCTCGTATTAGTTACATGATTTCCTGAATCTGACTTCCATTATTTCCCTTGTTGATATGTGGTTAGTGTAATGTATTCTAATGAATGTAGATAAAAAAGAATCATAAACTCAATCTAGGATAGTGAGCCAATAGTTATCTCCTTGGGAAACTGATCAGGTAACAAAGAATTCTAGCCGATTGGTAGGTTGCTTAACCCGACATTGGCCATTATAAACAGAATCTATGCAAATTATGAAATTATTCACCCTGTGTGTCTCAAGTGGTCTAAACAAAAGCACTGCAGTAGATAATAATTTGCTAACAGATGTCACACTGGATACCGCAATCTCTTCTTAAAAGTCATTAACATTCTAGGGAAGGCTCTATATTCTGGCGCTGCACAGACTTAAGTCCTTCCAACAAAACTGAAATATAATAAGCCCACTGATTTGCATGTGATTGCCAGAGCAACAAGCCAAAAATGGGCTGAATTACTTTTAAGGCAAATAGTGATGGGACGAATATTCACACACACACATCTAAAAATGTTTCTGAAGTGTCAAGAAACCCTAACAAGAAGAATCTTAGACTGATGATAATCTTTATAGTTTGGAACTTTTTCTATACAAATTTGCACATAGGTGTTTTGCACAGAAAACATCATATTCTATGCAGAAAACAGGATTTTCTGCAGAGAAAATAATGTGTACAAAATGCTATTGTTTGGTGTTCTGAACTGTTAATAGTCTTTGAAAACTGCATATATTGATGAAATAAGTATACTTACTTATTTCTGTTTTCCTCACTACAACCCAGTAATGAGGGCTGGATGACAAGAAAATGATCAGCCTAAGGACTCCTAGTGAGCTATGTTGTTGAATGGTTATTTGAACTTTATGGGAAATTTAAAAGCATGCTCAGACACAATTTAACTGCTATCTAAACTAAACACAGTTTTCCACTACTTCTCTCTCCCTCCTCACCACCTGTGACATTTCTGGAACATAGTGCTAGCCTGTTTATTCACTGCCCTGGTCACAAAACATTTAGGTTGAATGAATGGGGATTTTATTTTGTTTTCTTTGTTCAGATTCCAATTTATTTTGATTTTTTTAAAATGCATGAACCTAGGGAAGCACCTTCATTTTCTTTCTTATTCATTGAAAATTTGTACACACCAATACTGTTACCCTCTTACATTCTCATATTTGCATGGTTTCCCACAGAATAACCATTGCTAACTTCTAGGCAGACATTTGCAATTAATATAGGGCCCAGCTATAGACTGCTAGGAAAAATTCCAGGTAAAGGAGAGTTGTGAAATTAATAAGAGGGAAATTATAAACATCTGTAGGATACTTAAAGCATCTCATTATAAGAGAAATAATCTCCTGCTAAATGAGTTTGTTGTTGTTGTTATGTGCCTTCAAGTTGACTTCAACTTATGATGACCCTATCCTAGAGTTTTCTTGGCAAGATTTCCATTACCTTCAACCTCTGGTCTCCAAGAGTCTAGTCCAAAGTTCAAACCACCACACCATGCTGGAACTTGGTGTCCACTGCATATTATCTGCAGAATATCTTCTAAACAGAAGATTACTGTAAATGTTCCTATAATAGCTTTAATTAAAGGATTGTGTTTTTCTTCTAGTCTTTCCTCCCAGTGCCATCTTAGATCTACTGACTAATTTTTTAGAAACAGTTTCATTATTCTTAGTTATAGCTAAACTCAGATAGACATATAAATCAAGGCTTGTCTATTGCCTGACTCCAAACCTGAGTTAGAGCTTTCCAAGGCCAATACTCATATTTTTGTTTTGTCATAATGTAATGATTTCTTGAATATTTGCCCATTTTACTAGCAAACACAGGATCTGTCACAAACGACATGAAATAAATTTATGTAAAACTACTTGACATAACTTCTCTACATAATGAAGCTTTTATTTTACTTGAGACACTGATCCTGAATTATTTTTGCAACATTTCAGCGGCTAATTGGGAACCTTCCAGTTAGCAGCTTCCTGCAGTTTTATGTCCCTCCTGAGCACAAAAACATTAGAAACTGTCTCTTTAAAGAAGCAATTCTGCTCAATTTTTTAAAAAAGAAAATGTCCTCTTAGTTTGAACCAATTCACGCTCTTACAAATTCCCACTCTCATGAATGGTGAAAGAATGGTGTGTCTCAATGTATATAGATGGATATGTATGTATGTGTATGTATGTGTATGTATACAAAGAGAGAGAGAGAGAGAGAGAGAGAGAGAGAAGAGAATGTGTGTAGGCTGTTATAACATTCATGAACCTGCACACATATAATTGTTGATGTGTACCTTCAAGTCATTATGATTTATGGCAATTCTATCACAGGGTTTTCTTAGTAAGGTTTGTTCGGGGATGTGTGTGTGTGTGTGTGTGCCTTTGCCTTCCTCTGAAGCTGAATGAGTGCTGTTTGCATAAGTTCACCCAGCGGGTTTTCATGTCTGAGAAGGGATTCGAACCCTGGTCTCCAGAGCCATAGTCCAAAGCACAAACCACTACACCACACTGGGTCTCATATACACATACACATAAGTATCATATAGTCATATATTTAATATAGATTGAATGTACCTGTACACACATAGGCCTAGAACTAATATGCACTTTTACCACCTGCCCCTGCAATCTGAACACATCTTCTGGAGAGTTTGACAGCCCTCCTGAGTAGGAATTAAGGGCATCAGACACTGCATGAAGAAGGAGAAAATATGACCTCCTGCTTGCAGGTGCTTCTGCAGGTATGATGACAGCATTATGAAATGGTCTTAAAATTGAGCCCATGTGGTGTAGTCAACACTGGACTAGGGCTCTGGAAGACCAAGGTCTGAGTCCCTACTCAGACATGGAAACTCATTGGGGAACCTTGGACAAGCCACCCGCTCTCAGCCTCAGAAGAAGTCAAAGGGAGACCTCGTCTTAATTAATCTTACCAAGAAAATATTTCAATAGGATTTCTACAAACTCAAGCCAACCTGAAGGCACATAACAACACCAGCAACAGAAAAAATTGAGACAATTTAAAATATCTTCCTGTGTGAGACAGTTGTTTCATATTAAATATGGATAAATATTTCAGTGTTGCTTTCTCTTACATTTATTTTCTCCCGTCACCCTTGATTTTACAAAATACTTTCCATCCTCTTCACTATCAAATTTGCTAGTTTTGGAAAATATTTCCAAGCAAAATTGACAACATTCTACTCCATTAGCACAAGGCAAATGCAATAGGTACAGCTTTTTGTCTACAGCATGTAGAGGCCCATGTTGTCTCTGCCTACAATACAGTGGTTAAACAGAGAGAAAGAAAGAAACATATTTATTTATTTTAAAAAGTCTTTTACAAAAGAGGAGGAGGGGGAGGAAATAGATAGGGCATGATGGTGGCTAGCATGTAGAACCTAATAAGCATTTAATACTTTACATTAATATAGCCTGACGATACATCCAAAAATAAATTTCATGAAGATATTGGTAAAATACACATTCACACATAGCAAAAACTATAAAATATTTTGATCATTGAACAATGCATGGTGGACTTTTATGTTTCTAACCTTGGAGTATAAGTATTTTAGGAACATTAGAAACATGCAACATGCAGCATCCAGACACAATGGTCATCAATCAAATTCCAATTTTATGCATATAATTTATGGGTATAATTGTACTTGTGTCTACAAATGTCAAAGATTGTTCTAAAACAAAATCAATACACTGTAATACTTCCAACCTGAAAGGAGTAACCACTGAACACACCACATCATATGCCACAAGGAAGCATTATCTGTATTATATCACTAACACGGAACTAAGGTACCCATGGATCGCTTAAAAGGACTAGAGATATCCAATATGCCCAAACAACTCCTTTTTCTTCTGAAACAAACATATTAAAATTGAAAAGACTCAAGAACAAAAAAGCAACTCCAATTCAGCATAAGCATTGCTGAATATATAGTCATCCCTCCAGGTTCACGGGGATCTGTTCCACACACACACACACACCATGAATCAGGAAAAACACAAATATTCAAGTCCCACGCTGGTGCTCACCCATGCACGTGTGCCGTTTTGTCTGTCCTGGCTTCCCTTCTGTGGAAACTCAAACCGCGAACAGGAAGTCAGTGAATCTAGAGGGATGACTAGAGGGATGACTCAATGAGGTAGTTGAATTTTCTCCCATATTCAAATCTTTTTTTTTTTTTAAACTCACCTTTCCTTCATAGGTTCAGGTTAAAGCATTGGCTTCAAACATTACCTTACTGTATCATTAGTCCTCTGTTGCATTATATCTTTTGACATAGATAGATAGAAATATTTTAATAAATAAGCAAACAGAAGAGGGACTTATTGCAGAAATATTTATATTCCAGCCACCAGCAGCACATTACAGATGGAAGCTGTCTGCATCTGGAAGTTTTTTCACATGTAGATTTTTCACATTTTACCTTACCATATAGTGCTTTCAATGTAATCTATATTAGTTAAAAAACCAAAATGCTTTAAAATGTTATACAAATGGCAGCAAAACCATGTTAATGCAAAACTAGATTTGCATTTTTCAGTTTGTTTCTGAGGGCCTTGGAACTGTGGCCTTCTGTGGCCTTGAAGAAATGAACTTTTTATTCTGAGTAACACCATCTTTTTGGCCTTCTAGGGGACTTTGGCCCTCACATTATGGAGTGAAAAGTCTCCTGCTGTACTTGAGAGTATGCCATGTCTATGCCCAGTGGTTGAAAGCATAACTCTTTTTTTCTTTTTTTTAAAATGGGAGAGGGATATATTTTGTATCATTTTAAATTGTTGTATGCTGCTTTGATTGTTTTTACAAAAAGTGGGATCTAAATAAAAGTTTTATTATTTATTTTATTATTATTATAACTCTGTTCAGGGAGTCATCAACTGTACATATGAGAAAATAGAGGGAGAAATTATAATGGGAGGCACTTTTCCCATCTCTAGCCATGGTCCAGCTCCACAGTACTATAGCCATTGAGGGCAAGTGGTACACAATGTTTCTTGGGAACTTATATGCTTTCTTCACAGTTTTTATGCAAATAGCATATTGAATAGGTGAAAGATGTAGATCCATCCAGCAGATCTCTCCTCCAGGTATGTTTTTGTTTAGTCAACCATTATCTGCAAAGGGATACTTATTTTGAAAGTAATCTAGTAGTAAGTAGTAGTGAGTAATTTTAGTAGTAGTAGTAGGAGTAGCAGCAGTACAGCTGTTAACAACAGGAGGTTTGGTCCAGCAGTGATTTGGATTCTGGTCAAGTATCTAAAAATTAGTGAAACATCATTGATTAATGGTGTATTCCAAGCAGTGTCAATTGTTGTAATTATGCTGTTGTGATCCTGTCCAGAGAGCCACTGTGGTGTAGTAGTTTGACCATTGGACTATGACTCTGAGATCAGAGTTCAAATCCTGGCTGGACCAAATGGGTGACCTTGGGCAAGTCACATACTCTCAGCCTTGGAGGATGGCAATGACAAACCCTCTCTGGAGAAACATGCCAAGAAAATCGCATGATAGGTTTGTTTTAGGATCATCGTAAGTTGGAAATGACTTGAAGTCACACAGCAACAACAACAAGATCATGTCTATGGACATTTCATTTATAAATTTCCTCAGTTTATTTGGAATTTGGAATCTGTACAGGGATACTTATCTCCTGCATAATTTATCACTTGGTTTTACAGTCTACCAGGTGTTTTGGGTTATTAATGATTCAGATTTCATTCAAGTATCTAGAAATCAGTATGATATCATCTACTAATATGCACAGTGTTATTGTTGCTGTTGTCATTTCATTCATACCTTCCTATTCCATAAAACTGGGACTCAAACAAAATTCCAGATTCATACAGCTTTCACCTCAGTTATGCAACTAGTAACTAGAAGAGAATATTTTGACCTTACCTGCTGCTGTCTGTAGCAAAGAGGTTCTTCAGTTTGTGATTTGGGATAAAGAGCTGCTGCCAAATATTTTGGGGAGGTTTTTTTTAAGTTCTAAAGAAATCCCACTGGCCACATGCAAGATGGTAGGCATGCCTAAAGTAGTTTTTTGGATCTGGCCATTCTATGTAAGCAATTAGCTTTGGTCCTCTGACTTCTGATATATTTCCCAAGTGGACTTTTGGAAGGCTCAGCAAACTGCCTGCCTCTGGTTTAGTACATGAGGTGCTACCTCTTAAGCTCCATCCAGAGTGTTAACTATAAATCAAGTGGAACCCACATCCTGTGATCGATATTATTGTGTGTTGTGCTCAACCTAAGAGCTGTTATTGTAAATTGAATTCCATTAAACACGCTGGATTTCAATGTCAAACTAGATGAAAACAAAAGCACCATTCTGAAATTCAACCCTATAAAATGGAAAGGTACCAGATATATTTAAACAAATACCCACAGAATACTCATAAACTAAACAGCTGTGTGGAAACTATCTTTAACTTGTTCCACCCATTTCAAGGGAAGAGAAATGGGGCTTACCCTATTCCATGAATCAGCTTGATTGGCCACAGACCTATTAATTAGCTAGAACATGGGTATCACTGGCTACCCTTCACTCATGGTGTATCTTCATGTTCAAACGATGACCTTATGGATTGGAGATTCCATAAATCTGTTACCACATCCCTCTGATAAAAATTCCTTCAGCAAAACCAAACAGCAAAAGGAACTGTCAGTAGCAGAAGTATCCAAATTAACATCCATCTCTGCAAGCTGATTTTATGGCAGTCCCCACCCTACTTGACCAGCTTCCCAAGGACCAAAGTTTCCCTGTCACCTGGCATGACACTATTTTTTTTCTGTAAACACATGTTTACAGAAACCCTGCTATGTACATGATAAAAGTGAATAAAACAAGAGCATCCTAGGCTACAGTTCTATACACGCCTACTTGAATCCCAATAAACTAAGCATATAGCAGGGTTGGGCAACTGCTGTGGGTCTGCCTACACGACTCCCTGGTAGTTATGCAGACTGACAAAAATGTCAAAGAACAATAAAAAGGAAGTAGCTAGAAATTTAGTTCTGGTTTTGAAAAATGGTGAACAGTATGGGGGGGGACACTGCAATATATTTAAAAGGTTAATTGCTGTTTCTTTAACCACAATTATCCCCCCCTCCCAACATGGCTCTTGCTTTCCTGATGGAGAGTGGGGGGAAGAGGTTCAGGCACCAGCAACGAGAACAGAGCTGGGCACTCCTTCATACCTTTTGCCCCCACTCTCCACCAAGGGAGGATGGCTCTGGTGAAGGCTGGAGTTTGGAAACACTCCCAAGGAGAATCAAGAATGTGGATATCTGTGTTCTATGTATTATCTATGCTTATTCCTATCTATCTATCTATCTATCTATCTATCTATCTATCTATCTTTAAAAAGAAAAAAAGAAACACCTAACAATTTTCATGTCTAGCTGGAGTAAGACTTTGGTAAAGCAAAGTCTTGCCCACTCAAAGTCAAGGCATTCCAAAATATACTGTTGTGAGATCAATTT